AGGTTACCTCCCATCGGCCGGTACGCTCCCACAGAGTGGGTCTCCTCAGGGTGCCGTCAGCCAGACAGTGCCGGCTGGCGACCCCCAGGGGGAGGGCCTTCTCGGTGGGAGCCCCCACCCTCTGGAACAAACTACCCCCAGAGATCCGGGTGATCCCGGATCTCCCCTCCTTCCGCCGCGCCCTAAAGACATGGCTTTTCCAACAAGCGGGATTGGCCTAGGGAATTTTAGTGGGGTTTTTAAGGGTAATTTTAACGACTTGGCCTTTACAAATATTTTCTTTTAATCTGGTTTTAATATTGATATTTGTTGTAATGTTGTTTTATAAGGCTGTCAGCCGCCCTGAGTCCGGTGAGGAGAAGGGCGGGATACAAATCAAATAAATAAATAAATAAATAAATAAATAAATACTGTTAAGGAATCTTCTGGCTTTGATTTGGAGGCTAAAGAAGTAGACCTGATGACCTGTCAGCCTGGAGAACCCCTAGATCAGTGATGGCGAACCTTTTAGAGACCGAGTGCCCAAACTGCAACCCCAAACCCACTTATGTATCGTCGGGTGCCAGGTGGGCGTATCCCATTGGGTGGATGTGGCCCATTGGGTGGGTGTGGCCCATTGGGTGGGCGTGGCTGCAGTGGTAATGGCAGACTAGGTGGGACTAAAAAGTTCAATCAATCAATTCCAACTTTGCGAGATCTTTTTTTTTCCCGCGAGAAGTTGAAATTGATTGATTGATTGAACCTTTTTTTTTTTTTGCACATGGTGGCAGAGGCCTAAAGCGAAAAGGTTTTATAAATCCCAGCTGAAGGCCTAGGACTGGGGCAACGGCGCGCATGCCCACAGAGAGGGCTCTGCGTGCCACCTGTGGCACACGTGCCATAGGTTCGCCACCACGGCACTAGATAATTATAGAGTTGAACTGTTCCCAAACTGTTCCCATGGACATGATCACACAACGTGGAGCCAGATCTTTTCAAGTCTACACATTTCTATCCGATGAGAGGATGTTGGTATTTACCAGTTCTGCCTGTTCTTTCAAAACTGCAAGTTCAGAATTTTGAGCTCTGCAGTTGCCCTTACTCTCAGTCCAGGTCTGTTTTTCCCTTGAGATCCAATAGCACTTGTTCTCGTGTAGCTCCCAGTCTTTGGGACACAGCTTCAAATTCCCTGAAAAAGACAAAAAAAAAAGGCTCCATATTTATTTATTTATTGAAGTCAGATGTAAATATTGCATCATACTGACACCAAATACAGGTAGCCTTTGACTTACAACAGTCCACTGAGTGACTATTCAAAGTGACACTTATTTCACACTTATGACCGTTACAGCATCCCCATTATCGTGTGATCAAAAATTCAGTTGAAAGTGATTTGAGTGTGGCTATTTTCCAGAAGTGTGTGTGAGTAACATGGATTCCTAAGCAGGCATGTCACAATGCTATGCACACAATGCAACTGCATTGCTTTTATTTTGAAGCATTTCTTTTTTTCAATTTACGTATGTGCATGCATGCGTGCCTGTGCATTTTCCAGCTCTATGGTTTGGCCCTCCACAACAGTCCCAGTTTCTCATATGGCCCCTTGGAAAAAAAATAACAGGCAGTCCTTGACTTATGACCACAAGTGAGCCCAAAATTTATGTTGCTAAGTGAAAAATTTGTTAACTGAGTTCTGCCCCATTTTACCACTTTTCTTGCCATGTTGGTTAACAAGTGCAGTTGTTGAATTAGTAAGTGAATCTGGCTCCCCCATTGACTTTGCTTATCAGAAGTTCGCAAAAGGGGATCACATGACACTGAGACACTGCAACCGTCATAAATATGAACCACTTGTTGAGCACCCAAATATAAATCACATAACCATGGGGATGCTGCGACATCGAAAAGTGTGAAAAATTGTCGTAAAATTGTCACTTTTTTCAGTGCTGTTGTGACTTAGAATAGTCACTAAACAAACTGTTGTAAGTCGAGGACTATCTGTAATGGTCCACCCTTGCTTTATACCTTTGTTCCTCCTAGAAAGAGAGTCCCCTCTAGGAATTGTTGGAAGCTGCAATTTCTGGATGGTCAAAAGGGTGTTTAGGGTTGCAGCTGAGCTTATGGACAGAAGTACCTACATGAAGAGCTTCTGGCAAGGAAAGGGGGGAACCTCACAAGAACTGGGAAGAACGTATTTGGAAAACAAAATGAAAACGGAGGGGAGAGGGAAACAAATCTTTAAGATGTTTAGGACCTAATCCCAAGCATAAATCCCAAAATAAACAATCAAACAAGGAAGTAGGGAGTGATGGGAAGGAAGAAAAACTCAGATATAAAGTCGGAGATGTAGTAAGCATATCCAGCATCAGCCATAAAGGACTCGGTCCATACCGCGTGGAACAACTTGCCTCCAGAAGTTGTGGATGCTCCATCACTGGAGGCATTTAAGAAGAGATTGGACAGCCATTTGTCTGAAGTGGTATAGGACAGGGATAGGCAACCTTGGCTCTTTTATGACTCGGGGACTTCAACTCCCAGAATTCCTGAGCCAGCATGGCTCAGCTTGGAAACCTCTCCCTTTCCCCTCAGCATGGCTGGCTCAGGAATTCTGGGAGTTGATGTCCACGAGTCATAAAAGAGCTAAGGTTGCCTACCCCTGGTATAGGGTCTCCGGCAATGAGTAGGGATAGGACTAGAAGACCTCCAAAGTCCCTTCCAACTCTGTTATTCTGTTGTACAGTCTTTCCTCCCTTATTTACTATATAAACTGGCTGAGCACTGCAGCTGGAGGTGGCAATCAAAGAGAAGATGGGGGTTTTTTTTGTTTATTAATAGGTGGGACCTCTGGTATCCTGAAACGAATGTTTACCTGAATGGCCTCTCACCTTTGGCCAATTTCATCCTCTTTGTGTTCCTTGGTGTTGACCTTGTGTAATGAATCCAGGTTTGGGAAATCTTTGTATGTGTGTTGTGTGTGTGTAAAAGATTTCCATATCCCGAGGTTGAGCTGAGTTACTGTTTGCTAGCTTTTTATCAGTTTCACCCAAAGACTTGGCTGAAGGCTCACGTGGTTCTTTGTGGCCTAGGGTTTCCTGTGGTAAGGCATGGCCAAGATTAGCATGTGGTCTGGCTGGAAGATGTCATGGAAGAGGCCTTTCTCTTCTAACAGTGCAATTCTATAACTTATAACAGCACTCAGTTTACAGTCACGTTTCATTGGTATGCAAGAATTGCAGCTAGGCAAAGTCCTCATAGTTCAGTTTAGAAACGTAAAAGCAAACAAACCTATTTGAGAACTAACTGGTTTTAGAAAGGAATTTGAGTCATTTTGACTGGGTAAAAAGGGCCACAAAGGTGATCGTGAGTACCCAATGAAAACTCTGAATCTACTCGAACCACAAGATGAATTATTAATGGATTGTTACTGTATAAATCTTAAAACATCTCCTCATGTGCTGATTCATTGTGGGGGTGTGTTCCTGGCAGGGATAACATACAAAAGGTCATGATGTAATCATATAGTATGAGATTATTTTACATTCATTTAACCTTTATAAAAAAAAAATTGGAAGCTACTATACTTGTTTATATTTTTGTTCCTGCTAGTTTCTATCTTTTTTTAAAAAAAAAAAAAACTTTGATAAAGTTATTTGAAAAAAAAACACACCCTGATACATTGTTTTGTTTCAGTACAAGGGTGTTTATACAACATTAATTGGAGGCGATTGACATATTATTATTCTATCGTTTCATTCACTTAAGGGGTAAAACTCGCTTAACAACTCTCTCACTTAGCAACAGAAATGTTGGGCTCAGTTGTGGCCGTAAGTCGAGGACTATCTGTAGTGTAACCAGTAAAGTTTTGCTGTTATTTTAAATTCACTGGATCTTAGTGTATTCCAAAGAATACATTGTGCCTCAGTGTTCAATGGAAAGTGATTTTAGTGTGTCTGTTGACAAGGGTTGTGAGTGTGTCATTGTAAACTGAACCTGGAAGTGTGTGTAACAGCATCTTTCTTTCTCTTTCTTTCTTTCTTTCTTTCTTTCTTTCTTTCTTTCTTTCTTTCTTTCTTTCTTTCTTTCTTTCTTTCTTTCTCTCTCTCTCTCTCTCTCTCTCTCTCTCTCTCTCTCTCTCTCTCTCTCTCTCATTCATTCATTCATTCATTCATTCATTTATAAAAAAATATTGGTTGCCCATCTTACCATATGGTAACTGGGCAGCTTACAGTTACATCTAAGCTAAAACATAAAAAGTTAAAATCAAACATTAAAACCAAGGACACATGGGGAGGGCGGGGGCAGAGTGTGGGGAGGGGTTAGCTGGGATCTTTCATTACTCGATCAGCCACCTCCATTGCACTGTTCCCCCACTGGGGCCCCAGGCTGACTGGCAGAGCCAGATCTTTAGGTCTTTATCAAAAGATAGGAGGTTGGGGGCCAACCTCACATCCGGGGGGGGGGAGATGTTCCAGAGGACAGGAGCAACAGCAGGGAAGGCCTCCTCCTGGACCCCACTAGCTGGAATAATCAGGCTGATGGGACCCATAGCAGGCCTCGTCTGCCGGCACGAGTGGCATGGGCCAATCCCAGTGGGGTGACACAGTCCCTCAAGTAACCTGGACCCATGCCATGATGGGCTTCTAAGGTGATCACCAACACCTTGAATTGCACCTGGAAGCAGACTGGTAACCAATGCAGCTCGCGGAGCAGTGGTGTTACAGGGGCCATTCTCGGGCCCAGCAAAACTGCCTGTGCTGCCGCACTTTGCACCAGCTGTAGCTTCCGAATGCTCTTCAAGGGTAGCCCCATGTAGAACGCATTACAATAGTCCGGTCGTGAGATGACTTAGGAACTGAATGACTGAGCGCAGGGAATCTTGGTCCAGGAAAGGCCGCAATTCCTGCACAACACGAAGTTAGTCACGTGGTTGCAGCCACCATCTGGACTTCTCGGATCAGCAGGCCTCCCTGAGTTGAGTCTTTCTCCTGAAAATTAGTGACATTTTCAAGCAATTTCAGCTGGTTGGTGCTAGTGTTGTTATGCACAAACCTTGAAATCTGGGACCATACCTGTGGAATCGTCACAATGGGGCTTACACAGAAATCGCCGCAGCTTGTTCCACTTATCTCCTGCTGACACATTGCTGACTGTTTCAGTTGCAGGAATTTTATCCTGAGCATCTGGGATTCTCTGGAGCTGCAAGGCTTTAAAAAAAGTTTTCTAATTAGCTGATGAGCAAATGGAAGGAAAGATATATAAAGAAACGCACATACAGGAAGCACCACTGTGGCACTAGAAATACAAGCAAGCTTCTTTTACGATATTCCTGTTCTCTGGAAGTCTTTTTTACCTCCACACTTCTTATAAAATTTATTTTTTCTGCAGGTTTTTTTTCCTGTTCTGGCTGCTCACAGCTGCTCATGGAAATGGCTTGACAGAGACCAAGTTGGGAGCTCAGTCTGGATCTGCTAAGTCATTTTTGTTCTATGTTCCCCAATTTCTTGGCTTTCCTATCAGTGCAAGGAAGGCAAGCATTGCTAGCTAGCCTCTGTGTGGGTGGATCTTTTTTCATTAGTGCCTTTGCTTGATTTGCATATAGGTAAATGAAGACTCAATCATCCAGGCCAAAAGTATCTAAACCGGTTAAATCAGGGCAACTGGAACCAAAGTTTGTTAATCTGAGATGTTTCGTTGCTCATCCAAGTAACTTTTTCCTGACAGTTAAACAATTAACCAGTGGAACTACTTGCCTCCAGAAGTTGTGAATGCTTCCAAACTGGAAGTTTTTAAGAAGAGATTGGACAACCTTTTGTCTGAAATGGTATAGGGTTTCTATTCTATTCTATTTTATTCTATTCTGTTCTGTTCTGTTCTGTTCTATTCTATTCTATTCTATTCATCCGTCAAAATAAAATAGTCTGAGATAAAATAATAAGTAATCTCTGCCTAACTTTTTTTTTTTATTTTGACGGATGAAGTTAATTGGATGAGTAACGAAACGTCTCAGATTAACAAACCTTGGTCTAGTTGCCCTGATTTAAGCTTTTTAGATATTTTTGGCCTGGGTGACTGAGTCTTCATTGACGTGTTGCAGGAAGAAACCCTTGCAGTTGGTGTGCCAAGAGTTAGTATGTTCCAATGATTCTCTGGCTCTCTGTGTAACATTTTTTTTTATTTTGAGGGATGACG